CTCACTGGCCAGTCACAGAGCTCACTGTGCAGAGGAGAAGAAAACATCCATCCACCAAAACCACAGCCAGTAGCATTCCCTGGACACTGGCTTGGCTTACCCGCACAACAACATGCCAAACCAAACAGGAAGAGCAGGCATAGCAGACCTGAAATAGTAGATCATTCAAAGCCATCATCGTCAAACAAAACATGTGCATTTGTGTACTTTGTGACAAACGAGAAACTCCAATAAAGTGAATTTATCTCAGGTTTTCTCAACAGCAAACATTTTTTTTTTACCACTGATCAACTTTTTTCTCTGTCTGAATCTTTTCAAAGATTTGTTTCAAAGCAAAGACCACACAGCTTTGCACCACCATAACCTTGAAAATGGACCAACACAAAGCCTTAAGCTGCTGTGCCTGCTAAAGTTCTCTGGACATGTACGCGACGCGATTCATGGAAAGGCTGACCCGTCCGTCTTTGGACAAAGTGCTTAGTGGTGACACATTTCAATGCCAAGAGAAATAAGTTGAATTTAGCAGAGAGGAAATGTTTGGTCTGCAATTATCTAAAAGCGTGTCACCCTGACATATTTGGCCGTGCTGCGCTTGAAGGAATATTTATACAGCAACTGTTGTGTCACAGCATCAGGCGAGCCACAAAGGCAAGCCTTCCTAACCTCAAAATGGATCCTTAAAAACACAGACCGGGAGCTCAGACATAATGACCGAGTTATGGTTCATGTCTCATGAGAAGTCGTTTTGTTTTGGCCCTGTTCGGTGCAATCAAGATCTCATTGTGGCCACTTCTTGATGATATAAACAAATGCTCTGAATCATGACAGTCGCCAGCTGCCTCAGATACGATCTCAGTTTACAGGAATCTAGGAATTATTTACCTTTTGACTCAGTGATGAGCAGGCAGATATTAAAGTCTGCAAAAAAACAACAAGTCAAGCACATCCTGGCATGACAAGACAAAACACCATGCATGTCAAAAACCATCAATATTGGACTGAAATTGAAACTTTATTTTCCCCACATAGACACTTTTAATATTATGCAACACATCCAAATCTATGAGGTTAGATTTTGTATTAAAGATGCAGAGTTTGGTTAATTCAGGGCACTTTAGCAGGACTGATACTTCCAATACTGAAGAACATACTGTGCCTTGCAGAGGTATTTATACCCTTTGAACGTCCATATTTTGATTACAGTCTTCATTGTATATTGGAGGATTGTGTGTGACAGACAAATGCAAACTACTGTATTGAAAACCAATTGTACTTCTCCTCAAATTCACTTTTTTTAATCTAAAATTGTGGTGTGCATTGTAATCAGCCCGTCTGAGTCAATATGTATACAACATTTTTCTGCAGTTAGAACTGCAAGGCTTTTGATGTAGTCTGAACAAGCCTGACACATCTAGATGCTGTGCTGCAAAGTTAAATGAGCAAAAAATGCTTTTTTGTGAGCCAACAGAAAGTCAAAAGTAGCATGGCTATATTTTTGTGGTTGAACATTGGTTAAAAAAAAAAGAGGAAAAGTTGGAACATGAATATATTCGCAAAGCACTAGATGCATTAAAAAGTCGAGACCCAGGTCTTAAAATGCAGTGCTAGTTTCAGGCAAGAAATCTTATGCCTTTCAGGTTCTTATGCACATGTTCTGTGTAATGCTACAGGCACAGTAAAATCCAAATTAGGAACATTTCACATTAAGGACAGCTTGGGAATGTCAGGAGGCTCCCTGGTGTCCATTCTGCTCCACCTCAACCCCCTCCATTCGCCTCCCCTTTCTCTGCTCAGCGCACAACAACAAGCCTTGTGACACCAGGGAAAAGCAGCACCAGGCTTCCACAGCAATCACAGCCACTATTGTCAAAGGGCTTTTTCTCAAGCTATCCAACACCATGGAAAACAGGGGATCTTGTTGCGCATCCTACTCTCTCCGCTCGGGAAGCCAAGTGAAGGGTGGAAAAACCTTTTAGCGGCTTTTTCAGCGAGCTTGATCACCTGATACAGCAGGGCTCTGCACCTTTCACGCAGGACAGAAGGCCTTGTCATGGACTCTCCACATCGCCACACTCACTGGGCTGCAGTGTTTCTGCCAGCCTGAGCAGCATAATGCACAATGAAGCCATGGTAGGAATCTTCCCAGCCATTTGCCCCAAACGAGCCGTATGAAAGAAATCTACTCGTATGGAGCTGGAGCAGGAGGTTCACCGTCACCGAATAAAGTTGGTGACAAAAATATACTTTAGGACAAAGGACCATAATGATTCTGCTGCAAGAAAAGCTAAAGACACAAAAACCGATTAAAGAGAAACTCTGTTAATATCAAAAATATGCTAGCCTGTTTCAAAAGCAGTTTTCCTCCCAAAAATCTCGCTGATGAATCCTTCCACCAAAACATAGCTCTTAATGTGCCCTTAAGATGGCGGGCTCCCAGTTCTCTCCTCCAGGATTTGCAGAAAGCCACATCAAGCTCAACTCCACTGTGGGTTTTTGAATGTGGTTTTAAATGCCAAAAAGCCCTACTCTAATATTTCAGTGGGTTACTTAAGGCTTTAGTTAGAGAAGGCACCATTTCAAGCCTGATGGTAAGTCAAGCCACAATTTGCACAATTGTGCTTAAAAAGAAGATGTAGCAAACCAGCTGCTGGCAAATACTTTTTCAGCAACTAAACAAACCAATGTGCCCTGGCCTAAAGTCAGAATGCTGCATGGAAAATTCCTACAGTTCCCAAAATGCACCACAATGTTTTTGTTAGATCATTCCTAGTCAAACGGAGACAGTCCACTGAATTCAACAAATCGCTTCTCAAAAAGACGAGTTGTGCTTTTAAGTCGCTGAACTTTCAAATGTAAAGTCTCAACTTAAAAAAAAAATTGAGTATCAGAATATTTAATTAAAAAATTTAAAATAACCACTTTGATTTCAAAAAAACTTTCATAAGATATAAACAGGGAAACGAGTTTATCAAAACAACTTGAATCAATCGTTGCAACATTTATAAAACAAATTTTAGCTCAGACTTTGACAAAGGGCTCTGTTGTTTAAATTATACTGACCTCAAATCACCCAGCTGAGGTAAATGGTTGGCTTTTGAATCACGAGAGATAAGGAAAGATTGTGTTTAAATAGTGTGAACTCATTTTGACTACAGGGTTTGAGTATAAAAGTGGTAAAAGCTGGTCTATAGCAGCTCATAATTCCCCAAGAACTATTGCTTTCATTGAGAAACATTGCAGTTACTATCAGATAACTGGAAAACACAACACAGGAAACACAACACAGGGGATTAATAATACTCAACACTGCTTTCCTTCATGTAAAAAGCCCCTCCAAAACTAAACTATCCTTATAAATTGAGCAGAAAACAACATTACCTGAAGGTACCAGGTGCATAAAGTGATATTCAACACCATTAGGAACTATTCATGATATATATAATATATAACAAACTATAATGAGTACCAGACTTTTCAAATTCTGCATCATTTTCCTTCCACTTTGATGGCCAGCACTGTCGAGTGCTTTGCACAAAAGGCATCTGGAAAGAATGCCTGGTAATAGTTTACTCTAGCGCAGAACAATGGTCTCGTATCTTGTTGCAAACGATGTTTTCTGCACTCCTGGCAGGTCTCACATGAGCAGGGAGCCAGTTTTAACACATGCAAAAGTTCAGACAGAAATCCTTAATTTCTGTTATTACCAGACAAATTCTCAAGAAAACAAAAAACACCTCAATATCCTCAAGATCCACTCGCACCCGCTGGACCCAAGTTCCAGCACAGTCTCGTAGAATCATTGTAGGCATGGATTCAACAAGCAAGTAATCCATGCTCTCTTCATGGTCTCATGAACTGGACCTTCTCAGCCAGCTGTCTTCTAAAAAGAACGCTTGATTGTTTTTAAGTTCAAACCTCTGAGTATTTATCTAACTTTATGCCTTATCTCAAGTTATAAAAAAAATGTCAGGAATTTTTTGAGCCACCACAAAAGGTCCTGAATGTTTTTTTGTCCCCCCTCTGTTGTCATTTCACATGTTTTGTCATCTACTGGGACCAAATGTATGAGATCAAGTATGTAAGCATAGCTGAAATAGCTTGTGATGAACTTTCCCACAACATTTTTCTCTTTAATTCAATGAAGTCTTTCCAGAGTGCCCTGGTCTCCCCCTCTTTTTGTTGGAAGGATAAATAGACACAGCATAGATTACGAGGACTCTTAGAACCCCAAGTCTGTATTTCACTTCTCGTTTGCCATGCTTGGAGAACAATGTGTCTCCTTTCAGACAGTCAAAGGTTAAAGCATTGTTCTGACACAATGCCATATTTTTTTTGTAGAAATGATCTCTGAATGGCTCCAAACTGCTGTAAAGCATAAAGCCAAATATTTTTAAAGGCTGACCTTTGAAGCCTATACACTCCCTGCTATAAAAATGTCAAAGCTCCCTGTTCCCTGCCTTTCCTGTCGCATGTGGCCGTCCACAAACCCTTTTTAGGGCACCTTCTGTGGCATCGGGGACCAACAACCCAATAGGAAAGTCAAAGAATTCAATCTTTTTATTCTTGCAAACTGGGACGTTGCAGTTAAAATAAATATGGAAAGGAAGGCGAAAAAAAAAACAAACATGTTTCTCAGTGAACACGAGTCCAAAACTCCAACTACATATGCGCGACAGATTTATTTTCAAGGAGTCAGTATAGGCTGCATGTACCCAGGCAATAATTCTGGTGCTTATATTCAATATAGAAAGAGTGAAAAAACAGAGATTCAACCAAAAACCGCAGCAAACTGGAAACAGTTAAGACATAAAAAAAAATATTTATATACACTTTATTCCTCCTAATTCTAATTAAACACATTTTACAGTACGAGAACATCTACACTGTTACAGAATAGACAAAAAATAGCAACCGAGATGGTGGACAAGTCATACACATAAAAATCTGCTCTGATGGGAATATTTACAATAAAATCCAATAAGAGTTTGGCTGAAACCAACCTGAGAGTGTGGCCTGGACAGACGGTTGTTTTTATCCTCTGGTGACCATGAGCGCAGCTGCACACTGTAAAATAAGGACAAAAATAAGTCAATGATGCATAATTCCTAAGTCAGCCAGCATACAGAGTCTTTACGAACTTTCTTTACAAACCCCCATTAAACTTTTTCCTCATTTCGCCACATTGGTACTATATACTTCAGCGTAACACAGCCAACATACAGTAGAGTAAGTGGAGAGAACAATACTGTATCTCCTTCAGCAGAGACAAGGAAGCTGGTCAGAATTCATGGTAAAAATATATGCCAAGGCCACAAAAGACTTTGAAACTGGGTAACTTTCCTGGACACTGAGTTACAGCGGAACAGTTTATATCAAAGCAAATTAATGTCTTTGAATGTTCTAGTCAAAGTCCATATCTCAATTTTGCAGAATATTTTGCAAAACTGATATTTGCAAATCCAAAGAAAAAGAAATGGAAAAATAAAAATCAGCCTCAAGATGCACCATCTTTCTTACAGCTTTAACTGATGCAGGCTGAAGAAAAATGCATGTCAGATTTTTTGTGCAAGATCTTGAAAACCCTTCTAATTTCACTTCGTTTTGACAAAATGAGAAATCTTTTCCTATTTAAGAGGTTAAATAGGAACAGTGAACAAGGTGTTTTCTTGTATTTTTTTGTTTGTCTTGCAGTAGCTTCTGGGAATTTAAGAACATATTATGCCCCAGAAAATGCCCTAACCATCATGCCTTTGTCTGATTTCACATCCTTACAAAGCAAGAACAATTTGAATCTACCGATGATCTACAGTAGTTCAGCAGCAGTTTCTTACTTATTATTTTAAAACTGATGACAAAACACTGCTGGACTGAAACATTTATGAGTCCAGACAAAAGCAACAAACTGCTTCCAATAAAAATTGTCCAGGAGAGCGAGCAACTGCACCACACACAGAAACTATGGTGAACATTCCCCATTCTGCCTTTTGTTGAACTCAGTGCAAAAGAAGGAATGTGATATCCTGTGCATATCTTTTGTTACAACAGTACAACCCCATTGCCCCACCTTCTGTGTGTCACTCACATACCTATTGACTCGCCTGTTGTGGAGTCAAGAGAGCACTTGGTGGTGTCTTTTGTCCAAATACAGCTCCGTTTCTGCTCTAAATACCTGGGCTTCTGAAAGACGCTCAACTATGTTCGCGGTCTTTTTAGGACACGTTGAAGTTCTTTTTATATCCGTTTGTTCACTTATTGCACACTCTTTTCTGAGCAACATTAGCCAGAGTGTGGAGTTTCTGAAATGTTATATGCCGCTTTATTTGTAGCAATAAAAGGATTCCTAAACTAGTCGTTTGTCCCCACATTCTTGGTTTCCTCCACTGTATTACAAGCATGGCAGTCCTCCAAAGTTTACTCTCCCTGCCAGGCTAGATACACCAGTAACAGTGATGGCAACATAGGTTTATAGTTGACGCACCGAAGATGGTGCTCGGCTGAGGGGTGCGCATCGCTTGCACCGTTCGTCTCTTGGGTTCGCATATTCAGCTCAGAACAAAAAACCTGGTCATTTTACTCTTCAAAATGTTGTTACTCGGCACGGACCGCACACACCACATTTCACTCAAACTGGTCCATTTAGAAGAGGTTCTTGCAGAGCAGATTTGCCAAAACCAGCATTAATATGATCCCTCCATGAAGGTGCTCACTAGAATGATGCGTTGTGTGTGCATTTATATCTCACACATGCTTGCTCAATACGTGTTCTGTCACACAGTATTGCGTAACAGTAGCTACCTCTTGTTGATGGTTGGTGTCAGTCTTTCCCCTCTTCTGTCAGGGCTGACAGGAGAATATGATGAATAGGGTCCCGGGGACTGTGACGTAGGACTGGAGATTTTATACTCACTGTAGTTCTGGTTCTCGTCTCGACTCACTATGACTGCCTCCTGCGCAAAGAGAGAGGAAAGGGGGAAAAAATGTCATGATTTCCTGTCTCTTTAATGTAACCTGATTGGACCCACGCCACACAAAAACATGCAACCATAACAGGTTAAGAAAACTGCAAAAATTGGATTGGAATGTCACTGATAAAAAAAAAGGACGGCGACTAAATCCCTTTTGTGTGTTGTGTTTTCCTCTTGAGGACAGTAAAGCACAACATGCAATAAATGGGTGTGAAATGTAAGCATGAGTAAAAGTGAAGCAAAAACAGCTGTAGTTATAATAAGGCATATATTAACATGTATTTGATAGCTTTTTCCATGGCATTAAAAGCATGGTACACTTGAGGGTTCATAAACTGTACCTGATGTTCACCAGACCGAATAAAACACAAAAGTCCCTCAGAGCTTCAGCACTGACCTGGAAGCGTCCAGTGAGCTGTTCAGGGGTGCTGATGCCGTTGGTCTGTGGAGAGCTGGGAGTCTTGGGTCTTAAAAAAAAGAAAACCACAGAATTCAGATGGATTTTAAAGTCAATACCTTACAACCCAGAGTTGCATTTCACAGCTGTGCACCTGGGTTAAGGTCTGATCCAATTACAGCTGGATTAAAAGGAATGTAAGGCAGACAGAAACTTAAGGCAAGACAAATATTCTGAGTATGTAAATCTGGTCTAACTGGAATTACGAAGACGCTGATGTATTCCTGATTATGCTGAAAAGGAGAAAGCAACCGTTTTCAAAAGAACACAAAGTATTTGTGAAATATTTATTTTGCATATATTCTAATCCAATGTGCATCATTATTTTTTGGACTTCACTACTATTCTAAACATGAGCATTACAGGCCCTGAAACTAACATGAAAATGACAGTCAGCTGCAGGGGCGTAAATAGTCAGCTTCTTGCTTGATCCAGTGTGGAGAGGCGCACAGCAAGGCCGGGGATGCTTGTGGTAAATTGCCATGAAGGAATCCTTCTAGTGGCCTTATGTCCACACATTGCATTCAGAGGAATTTGACTGCTAATGCACCATCTGTTTGCCATTTCTCACTGATGACCTGCTGTAGGTAAGAAAAACTAGATTTGAAGACTTCCACAGCTGCAAATACCCCCAACTACATCAGCAGTTACTGGAATCAAGGTAAATTCGAGAATTAAAAAAAGAAAAAAAGAAAGAGTGATTAGGCATTAATTAAATCCATATGAGGGATCCAAGGCAAAAACCACTGCTAATCAAAAAGAACAAGGACACACTTGCAGGAAAAAAAAACCACCTTGAAGAAAATATTCAGAGGACTGTTGACATAAAAGTGGAACGTTTTGGAAGGTGTGCGCCTCGTTAAATCTGTCTTAAACTAACAGCATTTGAGAAATAAACAGCCTACCAATAAAAAATGGTGGCAGCTGTGTGATGAGCTTTGGCTGGGCTGCATACTCAAGCATACTTACCTGTTGTTCTCTTAAAAAACAACAACAAAAAAAGAGATCAAAGTCTAAAACCTTCATCATGCTTGATATAAAACAAATCTACAAAGAAGAGTAGGCCACAATTCCCCCCAAAAATAGTTTAAAGTTTTTTCAGTGAGTTGGCAGAGAAGGTGCTGAAGTGACCAGTGTTTTCTCATGTCGATCATAAAGTAACCCATCTCCAAATGTGTTTGTGGGTATTTCTGGTCAGCAGGCTACTACGCTTTATTTTAGCTCACAAGAAAGACAAATTCAAATGTTTGGAAAAACTTCTGGTTTGTGAAACTTCATGGTGTTTGAACATGACAAACATAATCATTTGTCACGCACCATCATTATAGATGGTAAGATACGAGAGTCACGACGGTAAGCAGTTCTGCCTGAGCCGGCAGCCTGACTGCTTAACCCACTGACATCAGGGGTGATGAAGTCTTGGTAGTAAAGTGTTATTCTTAATAAACCCGTGTGAGAACTGTTGCATCATATATCAAACTACAACCTCCGCAAACTACCACCTACTCAACCTCACATCAAATCATTTAGTAGTCTAGACTTACAAGAACCACTTTTAACTTGTCTGTCAATACTCCTCCCAAATGTCTGAGTTTCTGTACTCTTTCAAAAAAATATTAAATTTAATCAGCAAAGTTGTGTGATAGAGTACAACTTAGGTTGTACAATTAAGATGAAAAGACCTCAGTCAGCATGATGTTATAAAATATTGCAAAAACTGAGAAGCCAGGTTAAAAAAAGAAAAGCTACAAAGATTTAAGAGATGAGAAGAAGGCTACATAGATTTGCTAAGTTGGATGTTACTTTCCTTTAGATGTCCTAAATAAGCGTCAGAACAAAAACAGATAAAACCTGATTATATCATTCTTCTGTAGGAAGCTGGAATGATTAGTTTGTGAAGTAGTTCACAAACTACATCTCTTTTGAAACCAGACACCAAGCAGCTGCTGTGCCATGAAATAAAGAAAACGGAGCCCAAGAAATCAAAATGTAATTGGTGCAAATAAATCTTAACCATCCATCCATCCATTTTCTTTACACCTTTGTCCCTTAGTGGAGTTGGGAGGGGTGCTGGTGCTCATCTCCAGCTAACATTCCGGGCGAGAGGCGGGGTTCAAATAAATCTTAAATTCACACCATAGTGTCTGAATATAATTCAAGAGGTCGACTGGTTTGAGCAACCACACTAAAGAAGGCTGTGAGGTGAGTTTTAGGTGCTGAAAACCCACTGAGAGTTTGTGTGATCAACAGGGCGGAGGTTGCACAGTGGCATTGTACTGGGCAGCCAAGGAGTAATGGTGTTTTTGGCTTGACTGTAGACATGAGGTCAGGAGGGAAAAATTCACTCACATGGACGTAGGACATCCGAGAAGGAAATCTGTGGAAACGTGTGCAAGTGTGTCTCAGTGGGTGTTTGCATGCCATAAGAGAACAAGACAAACAGATCAACCCAGACCACAGCAGAATTTAGGGAGGATCTCTAATCAAAATGCCAGCCGACGGAAGCATGGGCTCATAGGAAAAGTTTTCAGTAGCATTCAAACAGGGTTTCTGCAAATCTTACAACAAGCCTGTTAGGAGGGAGCGGGGAGAGGAACAGAGTGGCTCTCATACATCCTGGCATTTCCCCTGATTACAATCACTTGTTTTGTTTGTACAGTGCTTGCTTGATGGAGGTGAACACAGCGCAAAGATTGTGGCTTTGGAACAAACAAACCATTTGGGATATAGAAGATATTTGTGATGCCCAAGCATGTCCAAAGCACTACATTTGTTTTGTTTATATATCCAACATATAAATATCTGCAAAACTAAGTCCACAGTTACTGAAAAAGGAGATCAGCATTTTTTTGTACCTCTCCACCAAAAGCTGAAGATGGGTCTTTGAGTTCTTGATTTTGTTCTGGGCCTCCACATTCAGCATGTCCGTTGTGTTTTCACCGTTGATTTCCAGGATGATATCACCAGCATGCAGGTCTGCTTTCTCTGCCTTGCTGCCTCCATTGACCTGTTAGAAAAATAAGGTCCAGTTACTGCCCTACGTCCTAAACATAACCTCCAAGGAAATCCACACAATGAGTGATAAATAGGAAAAATGTGCAGAGGAAATGAAGTGCTCGTTAAATTCTTTACACAGAGAAACATGCGCATAGGACTGGCTGCACTGTGCTGATTAACAGTGGAAGTATTTGTGGCACTCTTGTGAAGAAATCCTTATTGTGACACTTCTTCATTACTTGACAGGCTCTGACCTCTGCTACAAGCGTCACCACACGTCAAACTCGGTACTCCACCACCACCGCAAAGGGATTTTCAGATTAACGAGCCAAAACATCGCACAGTTACTCCCCTTTTACAGTGCCTGGGAGGGGTCTTCAAACCATTTTTTTAACCTTTTGCCATTTTGTTTAGCTACTAACAGGGCTGCATCATGCATCACAGATTCATCATTCTAGCAATATCCCTGAATGCAATAGAATAGAATAGAAATATCCTTTATTGCCCCACAGTGATAGAAATTCAATATGCACATTGCTACTGCATGTTATGCAGTAAAGCCCCAATTGCAAATGCAAACAAAAATAATGATGCACAGGATTTAATAAGCAATCCACCTTGGAGTTATGAACAATTTAGCTTTGTTTAATTGTTTATGTAAGATCCAAATAAATACATTGACGTTTCTGGTTCCGATATGGGGTAGCAATACTTTTGAAAGGCACTGTAAAATCAGCAAACATGCATAGGACAAAAAAATATGGTAATAATGTTGTATCTTTAGACATGAGGATGATATTTGTCTGTGTTTTACTGACAAGTTAAAAAGCAGGCAAAAGAGTAAAGAAAAGTTTAAACATGAGTAAAAAGCCAATCAGGAAAATTGGAGCAATGAAAATGTGTCCAAACAGAAGGCCATTCGGCATCCAGTTCGCCATTCAGCTGAGAGAAGTATGAGGCCAGAGGTGCAATGTCAGTAGGCCCACTTGGAGGCAAATAGGAGTTGCTGTGGTGACCTACGACAGTGCATGTCTTCTCTGATCAGAGCAAGCCTGATTTCACAAAAACAAAGATCAGCTAGAGCTTCTTTTACAAAGTTTAGACTCCAAGACAAACAGAGGTAAGCCATCTTTCAGGTCAACAGAATAAAGAAGTCAGGCATGTCAACACTGAGCCGTTACCAAAAGCTAAAACTTCTCCAACCATATCGCTACGTAACCAATCCTGTTAAAAAGCCCAAGTATTTCCCATGACAGTTTTTCAAAACAATTTCTGACAACCCCGTTATTTACAAGCGCAGGCATTTTCTTTTGGCATTTGCCATTAAGTATAGGGCCAAATAATAAATGTGCCTTAAACTTCAGGCCACTGAGGCATAATTTATCCTCAATGATATCAGGAACTACTGAAGAAAGGGTGTTGCTGCAAAAGGGGGAAAAAGAAACTGCTGTGAAGGACCAGGATGTGCAGCGAGCAGGTCAGGGTGCCTCAGTTATGCAGAAGTCAGACTGAGCAAGGTTTTCCAGATTGTGTTTATTTCACTCCACATGATTACTGCTTCTGCTTTTCATGTTGCACCTTTTGTATGAACTGGAGTGTAATCTTGAGTAAAAGACATGAAAATGGTTCATTTAAGGTGCAATGAATGGACCCGTTGATACACAAGGGGTGAGCGGAATCTGATCCCCAAACATTGCCCTGTTCAGACCAGGCATCCTTCACCTCCCACCTCAGCTTCCACTGCTACTGTAATCAGTGGCTTCCTTCCAATAGAGTCCACATCCACTTTATTCTAACACATCCAGTAGTAAAGGAAATGGGCATGACACAGCAACAGACATAAACAAAGACAAGAAGAGAGATGAAATGAGGAAGTTTGCCTTCTATGACATACCATTACAACGTGTATTTTGTGAGAAAACAGAGGATACAGCCTTCTACCTAAGATAAGTTTGAGTAAAATGAATAAGTACCTTTGATACGGTAATGTCCTTGTTGAAGTCCCTTCCTCCACATATTCTGAAGCCCCATGGAGACGGGCCGATCAAGTTCAGTGTCAGTGCCATTGCCATTGAATGATCGGATGAACACAGGCTCAAGTCCAACCCTGAAAAAAACACAAGGAAACTGTAAACATGACATTAGGTGCAAGTGATGTGCCAAACCGCAGCTTATGTACAGATCCACGCTTTCATCAGCTGCACATTTCTTTCAGCCAGACTTAGTACTGGATAAAATTGTGAAGACAGTCAACATTTCAGTGAGCTTCCTTTCATCTTCACGTTGACTGGCTTAAGTCCCCTTGACATGGATTGTGCAACCACATCAAATAGGAATGGGAAGAATCTCAAACCAAAGACATATGACTGAAATTGCTCAAGAGCCTGCAGAGCCAAAGACTCATTAAATCCAACTGCTTCTTCTAGACGACCAAAATAAATAAACAAAATCCTCCAGACAGAGTGAACAAGAAGCGAAACATTTTATCAGGGCTGACTGCACCCATTTACACATAATGTGTGTTTATCCAATATACAGCAGTGTATAAGGATCTGGCATGTTTGACATATGGTAGCGCTTTAAGACATGAAACACTCGCATTACAGAAACAAAAGTAATTTGTTTAACAATTTCAATGGTCAGGGTTTGCATGATCATTTACAGATTCTGTAATATATTTGTCCGTGTTTCTAAACCTGTTGCTTATAGTAATGTTAGAAATTGCAGCGTTTAAAGGGAATACAATATACTTTAAGTCACAAAACCTAAAAATGCAGCATTCATTTCCCTTAGTATTCAAGTCTGCGTAATTTATCCTCCAAAGTTCTTTGACGAAGCTTGAAATAAAATACAATTTGGTTAAATTTAAACCACATAGGTTTTTGTATTCGCATCGTGTCTAAATTTTTCATGTGGCTAAATCAACTTTCTAACAATTAGCCACAGAGGCTAATTATTTTTGAGGCTGAATGAAGATTTTCTCAAGTTAGTATTTGGTAAACGAAGGTGAAACCAAAAGTGTGCCAAGTACCAACTTCAGCCCAACATATTACAGGTACACAAACCTACAGCTTAATTATTCCCCTCTGTTTCAATTTATCCATATTGCACAAATTATTTTTAAAAACATTACCTTAAGTTTTGTTTAAGGCTCAGCACTGTTGTGCTTTGTGAAGTGTCTAGAGATTTGGTTATGCATAAACTGATTCAATTCATAAAGCAGAAGTAGCACTAAATAAAAACAGATGAAAAAAAAGGTTTTTCAGATGCAGAGCTTTAAATGCTGAAAACCAATTTGAAAACAAAAAAATGCATGTTGAAATGCTGATTGGTGAACTGGACGGCATCATTTTTGGCAAGCATGCTCCCTGTGAGCATCAGAAATCTTTTAACAAATTATACAGAACAAAATAATGTTTGCAAAATGTTAAGCTTGTTTGTTTCATGAAAATTATTTTTTCCCCCATTTATTCTCATTTTCTCTGATCTGACGAAGCAAGACAACATTATAAAGATGATGTCAGCAAGGTACAAAAGGGTAATTAGATAAGAAAGTACTGTATTGATATCCTTTACAGGAAGTCTAAGCATTTAATGGCTAAGGGGTAAAGGACACATTCCTCACAAGCTGTCAGTTTATGCAAATCAAGCCTTGTTGACACACATTTATATAAAATTTAGGATTTTTTTGTCCCAAATTAGCTCAAACTGCTGCTGATCGACTTCACTACAACCTGTAATTAGACCATCAACTTACCCTGTTAATTACTGTGCATGAAGTTTGCCTGTTATTCAACTGCCTACACAAACACATAGAAATACTATGTGATGATGGGATAAGTACTGCAGATACATACACACATTTGAACTATAAACATGCAGAGCTGTTGTGACTGTGATGGACAAAAAAAGTAAATGTGTAGGTGTAGATGATCCTGTAAGTTTTTTTTTTATTTTATACACTCTACTGAATGCAAAAAAATTAAATAAATCACCCATCTATTTTTTTTTTATTCAAATAAATAGACAACCTAAAAGGAAACAATTACTTCTATTACATTACAGCAGGAACCTCTTCGATTTGAACCCAGTAATAATGGAAGAAATCATTAAAACTTTAGATGAATTTATAAATAAATGAGTCACATGCTTAAATAAACTGTAAACTTAAGATTTCAATATAATTAAAGTTTTATAACTGCAGAATAGTGAAAATGAACTGGGAAATGTGACGTCCCCCCAATGCTATTAGCATCCAGAGTCAATATGGAGACTAAAACTGATACAGGTCAATTTATAGCAGAAAGGAAAGTCGATAAAACTACAAAATAAAATCAGAAAATCTGCAATATGTCATCTAAATCATTATGATGATCTGTATTATTGAGATTTTGGGGCATTTACATAAAAGACTCACTGCAGTACAAAGACTGAGAACAGCTTTGAGGTAGATTCAATCAGAACAAACAGCTGCAAATAATAAGTAAACCAAGACTTGCACAATTTGCTTAACTCAAAGATTCAATAGCAATGCACAGGTGAGAGTATACCCCTGCTGCACCAATATGCAATAAAGATTTGGGCTATGAAAGAACAAAGTGATCCAATTTCAGTCTCAGCATTCTGTGTGTGTAAGACTTAATCTTACAATACACTGAAGACAAGCTGGAATGCACACAGATTTATCTCTGCATTTACACTGGAGCAATACAATGATGTATCAATCAAGCCTAGTAATCACATGTCACAAGGGATCATAACCAGTGACCGGTGCACCAACAGGCCAAGATGGTTGCCTTTTTGCGTTTCACTGCATTTTATCACTATATTTACCATTAAGTGATGTTTTTCAATGTTGGATCAGTATAAAAGTAGCCATAAGGTAAAGAAAGATTTGGATGAATCATAACGACAGATCAAAGATGGAGGAATGGATATTTACTCTTTACCACTTTCTTTTTATCCTTCCTGTAACAACACAATGCATCACAAAGCATTGTAATATCAATTTGTACAACATTAACATTGCAAAGGACTACTTGGAGTGCAATAATTACAAAAATCATGACATTGATCTTGTTGGATGGACTATCGTTGCAGTAGATGACCACACCTGACATGAGACAGTACCCATGAAGCTCAAGGTCACAGAGTGTTTGACACACTACTGAGAAAAAGAAGAGCGATTTATAACAGATATAGTCCATTTTCCATTATAGTCATGCCCATATAATCCATTATAGGCATGAATGATTGTCATTCAATCATTCAAGGTTATCTAAAAGGGATAACCTTTTAGATTATCCCTCCATGCCCATGCTGGAGTAGCAGAAAAATCAAAATAAGCTCTTTGTTCTCCTAAATATTTTTGTAACCAACAGCAATCTAATTTTATTACTGCATGCCAGTGTATAGCATCAGCGAATCACACAGTGGCAATCATGCTGATTAATGTTGATAAGACGACTTTTTCGTCTTCGTGTTTCCAGCACATTGTGACCTTCAACATCTTGGACACCAATATATGTGTAAGGTGCAGAGACTGAATTGAATGTGTTATACATTACATCAGAATGCAATTAGCCAAAAAGTATTGCAACATTCATTTATACAAGTATGTGATACTTACCGATATATTCACACAGTATTATGCATATACTTATCAAACTCTTTTTTTTTTTTGAGTTTATGTTGGTAAATACAAGTGAATATTGGTGAAAAAAAGAAAAAAAAATCTAACTTGTAATGACATTTGCTGACACTAGACATAAACTTGGCCCATTTAAAAGCATAGATTTGAGGCGGTGGCACTTGATTAAGGGATGGGTAGTTAAGTATTTAAACTCTTCCTTTGACGTAACGGCCTTTTAATCAAAGGCTTTAAAAAACATTTAATTTGTGTCATCTGGATTTTGTAATAAATAATAAGATTCTCTTTTTTGGTGTACAAAAGAATATGGATGTGTCATTATGGAGGAGCTGCTTAAGTGATTTGCAAAGGAATGTGAACAGGTGAGGAGGAACTAGATGCAGTGAATAAAATGACTACGTCACTGCTATGTGCAAAAGTTGTCCCTTAGATAAGAGGAAGGATTATTTCCAGTTTCAAGTGCAGCAGATGTAGCAGCATAGAACACACTGCTGTGTTTTTGTTTTTAAGCAGCTCTGAGCTAAATGCAACACCAGGATGGGAGGCAAGACCCTCCTATTCAAGGCATGAGTAATGGTTGTAGCATTATGGAGATTTGGATGTAGGTAGATGGAGAGACATAGCTAAGATCTTTCAGGCCCTCTTCCACTTGGGTGTTAAAAGTAAAAGGTGTCGTTTTCAACACATCATCCGTTTTATCTACTACATCTAAACAACCCCATCAAAATCCCCCAAGCATGAGAAACCCAATTGATTGTATTTGCATAAAATGCATATGAAACAAGTTTGCCTTTTTATTCTATAGAAACCACATCAAAACATATCCATATTATTACATTTCAAGTCTGAAAATACTTGACCAGAATCTACTTAACTTCCATCATTTTCTTTATTGTCAAAACAGTAACACAGTGAACCAAAGCATGCATGAAGTCTTTAAACATAAAATATGACGATCAGAAAAACATTGCAGGCTTGAGTAGGTCTAGGACGGCAGTCGCTCACCTCCCCTCCCGCCCATTTCATTGTCTGCACATTCCACAAGTGTTTAGGACAAACTGTGCATACCTAGTTTCTCATTAAAAGTCTGGGCCAATTAACAGGGTGACTGGGCTCACCATCATTAGGGTCTCTTATTTACTGTGGCCTGCAAAAATAGGCACAGTAGTGCTAATGACAGGGAGCAGCCGCCCCAAACTTTCCCAGCCTCGGGGGGAGTCTTTTAGCTGTAGGAGTGTCTGCAGCCGTTCCTGTAAAGTGACCAGAACCTCCCCAGCACCCTGCCAATTTTGTGAGTCCTGACTGCTGGCATCACACAAATAAAAGAGGATGACAAGCTGTGGCTGGGCTCAGAGACTGGAGAAGAGGCTAGAAAAATACAGCAGCAGTAAGAATCAGTAGTCAAGTTATGCATGATGTGAGATTACAAAGTGAAAGCTGTTTGAGAAAGCTTTCCT